GCCACCGTAATCTCTTGTTTGGACTCTTGTACTAGCTTCTAGTTTGTCTTCCTGATTTTCCTTTATTTCACCCCACAATCATCTTGTCATAGAAAAGCCAATGTAATTTTTAAAAATGTAAATCATAGTCTGGTTCCCTTTTGCGTACAACTTTCCATGGTCTCCCATATACTTAGAATAAAGTTCATGCCCTTCACCGAGGCTTAAAAACCCTGCTTGATCTTGGACTCCAACTCTCATCACTCTGCCTCTCTCCCACTGTCCTCTGGCCACAGGAGCAAGCTGTTATGTCTGTGAGCACACTACGACTGCATCTTAGTCAGCTAGGGTTGCTATAATAAGCACACCATAGACTGGAGTCTTAACATTTATTTCTCGCAGTTCTGGAGGCTGGGAAGTCCAAGATCAAGGTGCTGGTAGATCCAGTGTTTGGAGACAGACACTTTCTTATTGTATACTCACAAGGCAGAGAAAAGGAGAGAGACAGAGACAGAGAGAAACAGATAGATGGGGGAGAGAGGGAGGAAGCAAGCTCTCTCTTGTCTCTTCTGGTGAGGGCACTAATCCCATTCATGACAGCTTCACCTTTATGACCTGATTATATCCTGAAAGCCTTATATCCTAATCCCATCACACTGGGGATTAAGATCTCAATCTATCACTTTAAGGAGAACACTTTCAGCCCATAATGGAAATTCCTACCTAATGTTTATTGCACTATTTCTTCCTCTCTCTGAAAATCTTTCTCAGTCTTCACAAAGTATCTCTTTCAGATTTGAATCTCACCCATGAAAAGTAGCCTCAAGTCACCCTCTATCATATCACTCTGTTTTTTGTTTCTATTTTCATTTTTAACTTTTCTTTTACACACAGGGGTACATGTGCAGGTCTGTTATATAGGTAAATTCATGTCACAGGAGTTTGTACACAAATCCATCACCCACATATTAAGCCTAGTACCCCATAGGTATTCTTCCTGATCCTCTCTCTCCTCCCACCCTCCACCATCAAGTAGGCCACAGTATCTATTGTTCCCCTCTTTGTGCACATGTGTTCTCATCATTTAGCACTCACTTATAAGTAAGAACATGCAATATTTGGTTTTCTATTCCTGTATTAGTTTGCTAAGGATAATGGCCTCCAGCTCCATCTATGTTCCCACAAAGCACATAACCTTGTTCTTTTTCATGGCTGTGTAGTATTCCATGGTGTATATGTATTATTTTCTTGTCCATTCTATAATTGATGGGCATTTAGGTTGATTTCATGTCTATTCCTGCCTATATTCATGTCCATATTCATACTATTGTGAGTAGTGCAACAATGAACTAGTGTTTAATAGGGAAAGAATTAGTGTTTAATAAGGAAAGAACATATAGGTCCATGTGCCTTTATGTCAGAACAATTTCTATATTTCTTTGGGTATATACCCAGTAATGGGATTGCTGGGTCGAATGGTAAATCTCTTTTTAGCTCTTTGAAGAATCCCCACACTGCTTTCCACAGTGGTTGAACTAATTTACACTCCCACCAACAGCATATAAGTCTCCAGCTTCTGTTATTTTTTGACTAATAATAGCCATTATGACTGGCGTGAGATGTTATCTCATTGTGAGTTTGATTTGCATTTCTCTAATGATAAGTGATACTGAGCTTTTCTTCATACACTTGTTGGTTGCATGTATGTCTTCTTTTGAAAAGTGTCTGTTCATGTCCTTTGCCCACTTTTCAATGGAGTTGTTTGTTTTTTGCTTGTAAATTTGTCTAATTTCCTTATATATGCTGGATATTAGACTTTTGTCAGATGCATACTTTCCAAATATTCTCTCCCATTCTGTAGGATTTACTCTGTTGTTTCTTTACTGTTGTTTTATTTATTCTGTTGATGTTTCTTTTGCTGCACATAAGCTCTTAAGTTTAATTAGATCCCATTTGTTAATTTTTGCTTGTAATTGCTTTTGGCATCTTCATCATGAAATCTTTGACCATTCCTATGTCCAAAACTGTATTGCCTAGTTTTCTTCCAGGGCTTTTATAGTTTTGGGTTTTACATTTAAGTCTTTAATCCATATTGAGTTGATGTTTGTATGTGGTGTAAGGGAGGGGTCCAATTTTAATTCTCTGTATATGGCTAGCCAGTTATCCCAGCACTACTTATTGAATAGGGCGTTCTTTCCCCATTGCTCATTTTTATCTGCTTTATTGATGATCAGATGATTGTAGGTGTGTGGCCTTATTACTGGGCTCTCTATTCTGTTCCATTGGTCTATATGTCTTGTTTTTGTACCACCACCACACTGTTTTGGTTACTGTAGCCCTGTAGGATAGCTTCAAGTCAGTTAGTATGATGCCTCCAGTTTTGTTCTTTTTGCCTAGGATCGCCTTGGCTATTCAGGCTCTTTTTTGGTTCTATATGAATTTTAAAATAGTTTTTTCTAGTTCTGTGAAGAATCTCATGATAGTTTAATTGGAATAGCATTGAATCTAGAAATTGCTTTTGGCAGTATAACCATTTTAATGCTATTGATTCTTCCTATCCACGAGCATGGAATGTTTTTCCATTTGTTTGTGTCCTCTCTCATTTCTTTGAGCAGTGTTTTGTGGTTCTCATCATAGAGATCTTTCAGCTACCTAGTTAGCTGTATTCCTAGGTATTTTATTCTTTTGTGGCAACTGTGAGTGGGATTACATTCCTGATTTGGCTCTCGGCTTGGCTGTTGTTGGCGTATAGGAATGCTAGTGATTTTGGTACATTAATTTTGTATCCTGAGACTTTGCCAAAGTTGTTTATCAGCTGAAAGAATTTTGGGCAGAGATTACGGGGTTTTCTAAATATGGAATCATGTTGTCCGCAAACAGGGATAGTTTGACTTCCTCCCTTCCTATTTGGATGCCCTCTCTTTCTATTGCCTGATCACCCTGGCCAGGACTTCCAATACTATGTTAAATAGGAGAGGTGAGAGAGGGCATCCTTGTCTTATGCTGATTTTCAAGTAGAATGCTTCCAGCATTTGCCCATTCAGTATGATGTCAGCTGACATCACTCTTTTTAAATTTTCTTCACAGTATTTATTACTGCCTGATTTTTTTCATTGTTTTGTTTAGGCATTTGTCTATTTATAGGTGTTCTTCCAACAGAATGTAGCCTGTTGAGAGTAGGAGTTTACAAGACCTTGAACTACAGATCCTAGAATAATGCCTGACACAAAATAAGAACTAGCTGGAAATTTCCCAAGGAGAACTTGGCTTAGCACAGCAGGGGCTTTCAGAATAGTATCTTAGAGAAAAAAAATATATAATAAATCCAGAAGACTTTCGTTTTGTTTCACAAGCATCTGAAACAGCACAAGCAATTGACCATAGAATGTTTCTCTTTATCTACTGAAGCTGGCTCCTGCCCCTGCTCTCCTCCTCAAGCCTCCCAATACAACTGCCATCCACCCACTGTCAAACAGACAACCTAAATAAGAAAACAAAACCCTTCCAGGTGTGGTGGCTGTAATCCCAGCACTTTGGGAGGCTGAGGCGGGCAGATCACTTGAGGTCAGGAGTCCGAGACCAGTCTGGCCAACGTAGTAAAACCCCTTCTCTACTAAAAATACAAAAATTAGCCGGGCATAGTGGTGCATGCCGTGGTCCCAGATACTCAGGAGTCTGAGGCAGGAGAATCGCTTGAACCCAGGAGGCAGAGGTTGCAGTGAGTCGAGATTGTGCCACTTCACTCCAGCTTGGGCGAGAGAGTGAAACTGAGGTTTGTTTTCAGTGCCTGAAATTTCTGATCTTTAGGGTGAAATACCTCAGTTTGTATCATGAATAAGTTAGTTTCTAAAAAAACACTCCTAGCCGGGCGCAGGGGCTCATGCCTGTAATCTCAACATTTTGGGAGGCTGAGGTGGGCGGATCACCTGAGGTCAGGAGTTTGAGACTAGCCTGGCAAACATGGTGAAACCCCATCTCTGCTAAAAATACAAAAATTAGCCGAGCGTGGTGGCGGGCACCTGTAATCCCAGTTACTCGGGAGGCTGAGGCAGGAGAATCGCTTGCACCCAGGAGACGGAGGTTGCAGTGAGCCGAGATTGCGCCATTGCACTCCATCCTGGGTGACAAGAGCGAGACTCCATCTCAAAAACAAAAAACAAACAAAACAAACAAAAAAAATTTCTATGGCGCCAATAAAACACACAGGGATGCCTGTGCCCTAAATGATCATCCAGCGAGAGCTTTGGTTATACACTCACAGCAAGCAGCCTGCAGACCAGCAAGGTGGAATGCAGGATAGCGTAGGAGGTGGGCCAGGGCTTCCTGCAGCCTCCGTTCTAAAATTGATCCCAACACACCTGCGTCCTGCTCCAGTCCCTCCCCCTTGGCCCTGGAGCGAGGTGAGTCTTCAGTGGAGGTGCTGACCATGCCTGGGTGAGTTTTTTAAAATAAAACATCTCCGCTATTAGATCCCTGGCAGCGCAAGACTGTGTACACGAAACTAGAAACAAGACAGTCCGTTTTGTATACTGCTTATTCCAGTACCTCCCTATAAAAGGTACGTACAACCCCAGAGGGATTCCCGCTAGGTGGCGCTCGTTCTCCATTGTACCCAGGCGGGTTCGAAGCTGGCACATGTCCTTTTAACACCCTGAGAGGTGATCTTCAACCCTGGTTTTTTAGGTAAGAAAACTAAGCCCCAAAGAGGGTCTTGCGTGAGGTCGCTTGGCTGTCTCTCAGAACCGCGTGCACAATCTGGTTTCTGAACCTAATGAGTTTCCATCACCTGGCTGTCTCTCTCTACACACGGTTTAGTTTGTTGATTATAATAAAATAGTGTGTTTCCTTCTTTCTACACAACGAGGTTTAAGATCCTCAGGCCTTGGTGTGATTTGTTTTCAAATGCGTGGAACAGAAAAAAAGTCATTAGATTTGGCTGACTGAATTTTTTCTTTGATTACCTTAAATCCGAACGAAGCTCCCTTTCCAATGAATAAGCAATTAAAAATGGGTAAGGTCTATGATGGGAAACGTTAAGTCTGAAGTTTAATGAGAAAAACCGATTAGAGTAGAAAATCCAACTGGATTTGATATCAGACAAAACCTGATTTAAATTCTGACTTAGCCACTTACTGATAGTCAAGAGTCTCAGTTTCTCCATCTGTAAAACAGGAATAACAATGTTTTCTACTCATTCCAGTCCCAAGGGTGTGTACATTCAATGAAACAATAGGCTTTGGTTCCGGGCACACTGTCAGTGAGCAATATTTGTTAAATATAAAACTACCTTTTATATTATTATTTAGAGTATTATAAGCTGGCCAGTTACAATACAGCCTCTCTCTGCAGTCTGATATATTCGGACCATGTGCATGAAAAACGCTGCAGGGCGCTGGATGACTCAGGAACGCAGGCGCGGGTGCTCGACTCGGGATGCTTAGGCAGTTTGGATCGCCCTCGGGAGTCTGCGGATTGGGACCGACCGTCAGTGCTGGGCGCGACCTCTGCCTGGACCTGGCTCTGGAGAGCCTGCAACACCGCCCCTCCCTCCTCCCGCCCCCACCCCCCGACCCCACCACCCCCCCCACACACCCCCCCTTCACTTGCTTACTCAGTGAAGCACCGGCTTCAGAAGGCACCGGGTCCAAACCCTCGTTTTAAAGGACTGGAAGCTAGAGAAGGCAGGTGACTTCAGTCAAGGTCACCGGCATCTGAGGGACGAGCCCCGCATGGCCTTTGGTTGCTGGGCAGCACCCAGCACGCGCGCCCACCGGCCGCTGGCGTCAGGGAAGGCGGCCCAGGGCACAGGTGGCGGGCGTTGGGGGCGAGGCGCGCGGTGGCGCCGCCAGGAAATCCCGAGCCCACTGGGCACCTCCCCCACAACCACGGGAGCACGGGCACGTGCGCAGCAGCTTACCGCGCCCGCGAGGGCGGGGGCTTCCCCTTCCCCGCCCCCTTGGCTTTCGCAGTCTAGTCCCGCTCTCCGCCCGCCGCCCGCGGAAGTCTCACCGCGCAGCAGCACCCCCAGCCCGGGCGGTTCCGGGGACCCAAGGGCGCGGCGCATAGGGGGCCCGTAGGATCCAAACTGCGACAGAGGAACAGGAGGCGGAAGAAGAGAAAGATGTGGAGGAGGAGGGGAGAGAGGGAAAAGGAAGAGAGGCAGAAGACTAGTAAAAAATGGGCTCGGGGGCGCAGAGGGGTTTCGGTGGGGTAGAGAGGCGCGGTCGCCGAGCGAGTCCGGTGCCTCTCGAAAGCCTCGCCGGCCGCCCCGCCGGGCCGCGCAGCTCCGCCAACTCCCGGGCGGGCCCAGGCCGGAGCGTGGCGCCTGTCGGGAGGTTGCAGAGTTCCTGGAGCTCACAGCTGAGCCCGAAGGAAGTCGCCCTCAATGGGCACGAAGCGGGACCCAGGCACGCCCGCGCGGTCACGTCCAGATCTGCGGTCCTCCGACAGGCGCAGGCCTGCTGCGCCTTCGCCACACACCCCCACTTGTGGGCCTGGACTCCGACTCCGTAGTTAACGCCGGGATATCTCTGGGCATCCAACCACCTCCCCTCCCCCATGCTCTTTTCCTCTCCACCCGACCCCTTACTAGGAGCAGCTTCTAGTTGCAGCTCAACACTCGTGAGTTCACCCTCCGCGCCAAGCACCCAACTCCTGGCCTTGCCTACAGTCACCCACAGACCTAATGATCGACTGAGCGCCGCCGCAATGGCCCGAGATGACACCAGGAGACTCCCTTGCTTTGCGCCTCCGGAAGACGCAGAACGTAGCCCCTTCTCTCACACTTCTAGGACACAAAAATACCCGACAACTCAAAATCGCCGAATCACATCTTTTCATGCTTTGAAAACTTCTGCCCAAGCCTGTGGCAGGAGCATGTCCAACTGTGATTTGGGTTTCTTTTTAAACATCTAATCAAAGGGAAGAGGGGAGGGATTCGCAACTAAATGGTAGATGTTTTCAAGCAAGTCTTTACGTAGCCCCAAACCTACTATAGTATTCGGCCATTCAACCCCCAGACATCTCTGCCTGCCTTTATGTTCGGATCTCACTCCATTATTTGTCAGCACAAAGTCCTAAACCTGCAAAGCGATAGCTGTGAGGGATACCAAACCCCTACCTTCCAGGCAACCGGTGTCAATCTCCTCACTATTTATAATTCCCAACATCCCTGCCTGAAGTGAGGAGAACGGTAATTTAAATAATACAGCGGGAGCAGAGAGGACACACTGTTTTTGAAAGACTGTAAGCATTCTGCTCTGTTCCACTCTGCGTCCTTACACTTGCTGAGCACTGACACCAAATTTAAACGGCGTTCCTTCAAAACTGATGTAATTATAAAGAGCTATAAAGGGCAATGACCTCAAGTGGATGTTTTTTCCCAGGTACCCTACAAGGTTTGCACAAAGCAAGAAAGCATCGTGTAGCCGAAATGTTGGAAAGTATAGATGCTGCAAAACCTCGTTCTGAGGCTGAAAACTATGAATTGTGGGTGTATTTCCTTCTGCGGTGCAGAAAAAGAACAACCAAAAAGCAAGCAACAAGGGGAAATGTTATTTATTTTAATGACACCAAAACTACCAATCCTAGCAATGTATTAAATTAAAATCATAGTCCTTTAAGTGTATTTAATGGTTCAAGTTTGTGTATTTGGTGTTAACTCTCTGTGAAAAAGTTTATGGAAAACAGTGAAGTACGTTAATTGAGCAAATTTTATATTAAAAAAGGAATAACACATTTAAAAATATTCTTATATACCCACAACATCTGTGTTTCTTAGCTTGGTTCCTACTATTACATAATACAATGCATTTTTTATTTTTTAAAGAGCAAAAAGTGTTGTCACTTCTGGATCATTTTATGGTAATTCCCAGGTATAATTTTACAAACAAACATATCTATTTATAATTTTATTCAACTCACAAGAGATATTTTTTAAAAACTGAAAGTTTTTTTTTCTTCCTGATGCAAAACTTAACCAACTCCAGTTAAATTCAATATTGATCTGCCAGGGAAACGACCATAAAATTTACAGAAATTCTCCCAAAGATGCCTTTCAATTCTTCTCCTGACTTTAGTTCTAATTATACCATTTTTTTCTAATTCCTCTATAAAAATCGAATCAAATCAAAGACGACGAGGAAAGAAAAATATTTCTAGAGTGATCTTAATTAACTGATCATTTCAGCAAAGAACGTTAGCAGTGAGGAAGCGGCGAAACTGTAGGGAGAAAAAAAAGATGCATTTTGTTCTTCGTGTTTATAATCCTTCCTAGAGAACAGAAACTACGAGCATGATTTATGGAACTGCATTATCTTGGATTTTCTCCGCAGATTTGACTCAACTTAGTATCAGGGTTCTATTAAAGCGCTGGAATAGGTGGATACATCTGCAGAGGTAAGAAACGTGGTTTGGGGTGGATGAGCCTCCTTGTTGCTGGAGGGTGCTTCGAGGACCAGGCTTAGGAGAGAAGGGGTTAAGTTAGACCCTGTCTTTAGCGGCGCAACGTGCCCAGTTTTGTCTGTTAAAGTCAACGTCGCCCAAATGGAGCCAGCCAATGGACGGCCAGGAGCACCCGGGACAGCCCAGGGGGGGGTGTGGCCTGAGGCTGTCACTCAGCAGTGAGGAATGACACCCGGGCGGGAGGGGGTGGTACAGTGGAACGCAAGGGAAGGAAAGAGAAAAGAAACAGATAAAACCAGGGCAGGGGGTAAAAAGGTGCCCCGCGCCTCTCGGAATCCAGCGGCCGCGGCCGCCGCCGCCGCCGCCGGGGGTGGGCTCCGGAAGAGCCTGCCCAGCAGGGAAGGGGAGGACGGGCCAGGAGCGAAATCCTGCAGGCGAGGAAGGGACAGACGCGCAAAGAAAAAGTGACTCGGGCTGTGCGCCCCGGCGGCGCTCGGGAGGGGACTGCTGCCACGGAGGGGCCCCCGCCAATCCTCCTTCACGTCCCCCGAGGGGGCAGACCCCGGCCCGCCCCTAAGGGCGAGAAGCGATGAGATAATCCAGCTGAGCTGCGAAAGGAGAGCGTCTGGCTCTGGATTCGGGGGGAGGGGGTCTCCGGGCGGGTTGGGCCTCTAAGGTGGGGGTGAGGGTCGGCGCAGATCCTGGGACGGAGTGGGGCGGGGGCTGCTGGGCCGCGCAGGAGTGGGCGGCGGCGGCCTCGTACACCCGGCTCACTCGCGCTGCGGCCGCCGGCTCTCTCTGTCCCGCTCGGAGCTGCTCGGCGCCCCAGCTGCCCGCCCCGGCGGCCGCTCCGGCCCGCGGCGCAGATGGCTGTGCGCGGCGCCAACACCTTGACGCCCTTCTCCATCCAGGCGATCCTCAACAAAAAAGAGGAGCGCGGCGGGCTGGCCGCGCCAGAGGGGCGCCCGGCATCCGGGGGCACAACGGTGTCGGTGGCCGCGGCGCCCGCTGTCTGCTGTTGGCGGCTCTTTGGGGAGAGGGACGCGGGCGCGCTGGGGGGCGCCGAGGACTCTCTGCTGGCGTCTTCTGCCGGTACCAGAACAGCTGCGGGGCGGACTGCGGAGAGCCCGGAAGGCTGGGACTCGGACTCCGCGCTCAGCGAGGAGAACGAGAGCAGGCGGCGCTGCGCTGACGCGCCAGGGGCCAGCGGGGCCGGCCTCGCGGGGGGATCCTTGAGCCTCGGCCAGCCGGTCTGTGAGCTGGCCGCTTCCAAAGACCTAGAGGAGGAAGCCGCGGGCCGGAGCGACAGCGAGATGTCCGCCAGCGTCTCAGGTCTGCTGCGGCTTCGCGGGGATGGGGGCCGGGCTGAGGGGATGGACGCGGAGGGCAACCACGCCGAGTGGGGTGGTCGGCTGTGAGCACCCTGCGCCCTGGGGCTCGGAGGCTGGCCAAGTCCTGAAGTTCTGCACTCTGGCGCGAGCTGCTCTGCCACTTCGGGAACTGAGCCCGCGAGAGACCGGAGTAGCTCCTCAGAACCCGGCGTCCTGGGGCGAGGCCTGAGACGTCCTGGGTCAATGTGCATTGACTGGGTTGGGAGAACCGCTGCCTCTTGCGGTCGGGAGTCTTTGAGTTCATCGCCAGTGCTTTCTGCCATGTCTGTCCCCAAATGCCCAAAATCAGGGAAGCGGAGAAGTGAGGGCTGCAGAGACCTCAAGTAGCCAGTGCCCTAGCTCTGGACAAGAGACCTTTGCCAGTTCGAGGTCCCGGGGCCGGGCCCCACAGTAGGTGGATAGGTGGTGAAGAATACCTCCGAGTGGGCCAGAGCTGAGAATCTGCAGAACTAGAGCTTTGGGGAAACGGCTGGTTTGGCTTTCTCAGACCCCAGGTCTGGGAGAGCAGCCCTAGGCCGAGGATCCCGGAGTGGGACTATAGTTCATCACGGAGGCAGGAGAGAGGCCTCCTCAGCCGTGGCCTGGCCTGTCCTGTGGTCTGGAAGACCTGGGTGCCCGCCCTAGTTGGGTACAAGTTTCTGTAGGCCTCCAGCACAGGGGAGAGCTGGACCTTTCTGCTGGAGTTCTTCGGAGGGGCGGGTACGAGACCGAGAAGCTGGTGTGGGATCAGGGTCCAAAAACTCTAGGCAGTGGCAATCCTCTCTCTTTACTCTCCAGTCCATCCTCTCATCTAAGGCCTTGGCTCAGCCTGTTTCCATGTCCCTCACAGCAATTCCAGGCGGCTGAGGGTGAAAGATTCTAAATACCTTTGGCCCCAGTATCCGCCTCCACCTTCCCTTACCTGCACTAGACAAGTGTGTGCTGCGATGACGTGCGCGTGTGTGCGTGTGAACTGAGTGTGGAGAGGCTCGTGAA